GCCGAGATCGCGCCATTGCACTCCAGCCTCCTGAGTAGCTGGGATTACAGGCACGCGCCACCATGCCCAGCTAATTTTTTGTATTTTTAGTAGAGACGGGGTTTCACCATGTTGACCAGGATGGTCTTGATCTCTTGACCTTGTGATCCACCCGCCTCGGCCTCCCAAAGTGCTGGGATTACAGGCTTGAGCCACCGTGCCCGGCCTCAAATGAAATTTTAAAAGTGAAAGACAAAATGTATGCATACAATATTATTCCATTTACTTCCATGCTAAACCCCTTACTTTATTACAGACTTAACTTTGGGGGGATAATTCTCTGGCCACTGGAGTCCACCTTTTAACCTTTGTCTTCCCACCACCTGAGCACAGCAGAAACTCTCTAATCATCTTGTTATTCCAAATATCAGATGCAGTGCCCAGCACACAGTAGGCATTCAGCAGTTGTTTCTTCAATAAATAAATGAGAATCTTTTGAAGCCACACAAATGAACTCATATCTTTTGAGGGTGAATGATAAAAAGAATTTTCATCAGAGAATAGAGGCCTTTGAAGCTGGATCTGTCTAAGAGTCTAAAAATTCAAAGGCCCTTCTACATGACCATGACAGTTTATGTCAATACTACTTTGAAACAATGACTTCATTTTATCTAGCTTTTTTATTATCCTCAATCATAATCAAGTGGCCATGTTTATGTAATACAGGGAACTAAAGTATATTGCAAACTGGTGAAAACAATTTGTCACAACTGAGTGGACAGCCTTATTCTCACATATCCTGTTATTCCACAATAATTAGCAAAAAAAACTGGCTCAAAGAGTTAACTTTGTGTTAATTCTAAGTGCAGCCTAAGAGATTTACTTTTCTACTATTCCATAATAATATTCATCAAATGAAAACAAAACAAGTACTTTGAATCTCTCAGAAAACAATATCACTCTCATAAATTTTAAAAAGTCCTTTGATGACACTAAAGCATACACTTTTAGCTTATTTGTGGAGTAAAATACACTTCCTATAGTTTTATGTATCCATACAGGTGATGGCTCTTCTTATTTTTTAAATTTATTTTTTATTTTTATTTTTGAGACAGAGTCTCCCTCCATCACCCAGGCTGGAGCACAGTGGCATGGTCTTGGTACACTGCAACATTTGCCTCCTGGATTCAAGCAATTGTCCTGCCTCAGCCTCCCGAGTATCTGGGATTACAGGCGCCTGCCACAATGTGTAGCCAATTTTTATATATTTAGTAGAGATGGGGTTTCGCCATGTTGGCTGGCCTGGTCTCGAACTCCTGACCTCAAGTGATCTGCCTGCCTTGGCCTCCCAAAGTGCTGGGATTACAGGCATGAGCCACCACACCTGCCCCTCTTTTCTCATTTTTAAAAGCTTTTATCCTTCAACATTTTTCTCTATATTCTCTGAATTTGTCAGGTTGTATTTTTTTTTCAGTTGGAGAACCAATAAATGCCAAAGTGAGCCAATGAAAGCCTGGGCATTATAGGATGTCACTAAACTGATTTCTTGACCATTTGCCTTATAACTCCTTCAACATCAGAGAGGTATGGATTCAGTCAGAAACTCCTCAACACTTAGTATTACTAGAATTATGTTACCAATTACAATTTGTTCATCACTCCTTGAGTGTGGTCTCTTGTAAGCCCTGTAAAAAATTAACAAAAAGTGATGAAGGTTTTAATGCCACCGTGGGTCTGCTTGCCTTAACTATATTTCTAGATCTCATTATACACATTCATATATTGATACACCATTCATTCCCAGCTTTTCCTACAGGCTTAATTTTAATGATGTGATAATCTGATTAATGGCTTTCTAGCCCATTAGAAAACCCATAGAAACTCCTTTGGTAAAGAGCTAAAATTAAATACTTTAGGCTTTGTGTACCAAAAGTTCTTTGATGTAACTACTCAAGTTGGACATTATAACGTGAAAACCATCATAGGCAATATGTCAAAGAATAAGGATGGATATGCTCTGATAAAATTTTATTTCAGTGTCTGTACACCTAAATTTAATTCACATAATTGTTTATATAACACAAAATATAAAGGTGCTCTTCAGTCTTAGTTTGTGAGCTGTCCAAAACCAGTAGCAGGTAGGTTTGGCTTGCAGATCGTAGTTTACTGACCCCTGTATTAGACTTTCATACCCAT